GGGGTTCAGCTGTGCTCCAAAGGGCTATTTTTCTCTTGCCACGATGGGTACATTTCTTTTAGACTACTGAGGACTGTGTGGAACAGACACTGCACTTGGCCCTGCCATCAGAAATGGTACAAGGCAGGTCCAATGGGACTGGAAACATGAACTGCCTTGTCGCGTTCTGGGACACAGGAAAGCTGCTGGGCCTCTGGAAATAGAAAGACCCATCACTTTCTTTTTTCTTTCTTTCCCTTTCCAAGTCTGGTAGAACTGTGTTTTCTCTCCCCATGGTTGCTCAGCAATCAAGAGTTTAAGCTTCTGGTACTAGAGCTGAATGTGAGGCAGCTGCTAGGAACTGGACACAGCTACTCTGAGAGCTGCCTGGGGCAGGATTTTAAAGTGTCTCACTAAAGCATGAAAATGTGAATTTTTACCGTTGCGTATGTATCAGGATTGAAAATATTTAAAAGTCTATTCTTCTCTATGAGAAGGTTTTTTATTAATACGAGGTATATAGAAACGATTGCCAGCCTTCTCTTCCCCCAGTATTTCCTGCTGATAAGTCATTCTTGATTTAGATTTGTTGTCCATGCTAGATTCACAGCTGATGAGGTAATTCTCTAGCTGAGAATACATAAGCACTTTCTGAGTGAAATGGGAATATATACGCTATTAAGAGAGAAAAACACATCCTTTCAGGTAAGAATATTATTTTCAGTATATGTACATACTAAAAAGCCAGATTTTATTTATGTGCTGAGAATGTTTCTCTGTGTAACACATCCGCACCTCTCCGAGTATTTTGGCCCACAGTCTGCACACACTTAAGACACACACTTAACATCACCCATCAGAGTAGTCCCTCTGCTGCCAGGGAGACTCCTTACATGTAAAGTTAAGGATGTATAGAAGTGCTTTCAGTATCAGGGCCTAAAACTTTCAACCTCCTGGTTAATAGTCTTAATATTCACTTTAGTTAAAGCATCACTGATGTAATAAAGGTATTTTTACATAACATTTATCATTTTACTTTAAATAGTAAATAGAATTTTATGACAGTGTAATCTGATACTCCATCAAATAAATGTACAAAACCATGGAAGCAGAATCTTCATTTAAAAGTATAGGTTATATAGAACCATATCCTGGTCTTGAACCCCTTGAAAATCGTTTGTTCCTAGAGTTTTAATGGCAAACACAGCACCAAAATCAGCTGTTAACCACTGACAAAGAGGAGTTTTGTGTTTTATGTTATAAGGGTTAGACCTTGTTTCAGAAACACTGTTTATCAGAACAATTCTGTACAGATATTTGGAGGATGTTTTGTCAAATACCAAGCATGTTATGCTGCTTAAAGTGTTTTTATGTGAATGCTTTATTGTAATGAAAATCTTGAGCCTTATGTTGATATGTTTAAGCAGTTGTACTGACCAAAGTAATTTTGGAGATCACAATTAAATGGAAATGTTCTGCTTGACCTCAAATGTTTATATGAGTCTGCCATTCCATGCCAACTCCTAACCTTCACAAGCCTCCCATCTTGGAACGCTTTGTGCCCAGCTACTGTCAAAACATACTTTGTCCTGTAAGTTTCCAAAACACCACAGCATGATCACCATCAGCAAGAGGCAGCCATCTTGAAAAAGGTCCCCAAGAGCACTGTCATAGAGCCACAAAAATTCTTTATGCAAACAAACAAAAATCAAAGACATTTGCCTTTAACAGGGGAGGAGTTGAGCTTACTTGCCTTGATACATGTGGAAAGTGAAGTTAAATCTCTATACAAATATTTGCAGCAGAAGCCACTCTTCCTCCAGTTTAGCTGGGGAACAGTATTAGTCAAGTTCCTACTGCAGCTACAGATAAAGATCTGCCTGAATTCTTTGCAATAAACCACATAACTATGGTCTGTTGCTTACTAGTGACCAACAAACAGAATACACTCATCGTACTTCCCAAGGCAGGAAGTAGTACTGGGCAGAGCGGGAAGGTGGGACTGCCACCTGCAGACACACCAGCCGCACCAATACTGGACCACACCTTTGCAGCTGGCCCAGAGCAGCACACCAGTGTTACTGGGACTGTATGTATGCAACGACAGAATTAAACCTCAGCAGTGTGTAACAAGTGTTCAAATCAGCAAGGGCTTATTAATTGTTTTTTGTTTTTTTTTTTACTTTATTGTTTTAATATTATTACTCATCATTACTGATGAGAAATACATGTGGTCTGGAAAGAGCTTTAAGCAAGAATAGATCATCTTAAGTAGCTGACCTTCTAGCTTCCCTTAGCAAACACATACGGTAAGCCTGAGGTGTTTCTCTTGCCCACAGCATTGCTGGTGTGTCAGTAGTGGGACTGGGCTCACAGCACACATCATCAACGCTAATTCCCTCAGTAATGAACTCAGGGATTCCCAACCAGCCCACAGATTACAAAGTCTCCTGAGCAATGCTGGAATTGCTTGGCACAACTCAGTGGCAGTGCACAATGACAAAACGGGAGCACTTCTGCTGCCCACCTGCAAACACAGATGGGTGTTCAGAAGCAGACTGGCTGAAAGGACTGGGCAAGTGTGCCTTTTTTAAAGGTGACAGACTATTACGTCTCCCTCACTTACCTGGCAGACCTGCTCAGCTTTGGCACTCTCCTCCATGCTGACCACAAACACCTTACTGAAGTATCTTCCTCAGCCTGCCTGAGCGTAACAAGTCTTGTAAAATAAAGCTATAGGTTCGTAGAGCTTAATTTGCCACATGGAAGTTAAAAAGTTTTTTTCCTGCTAGGCGTTAAAAGTAGTCTCCATAAGTTGAAAAGGGCTTCCATTCTCACACGTAATAGCTCCCTTCCACTCTCGTCCCCAGAGATCCAAATACCTCCAGAACAGCCTGTCTCTGCATCTGCCTTCCCCAGTCCTCTGTATTCACAGAAAATGCAGTAATTTGCCATTCAAAAATTTCTCGTACCAAAACTGTATCCTCCTGACTCCATGCTACTAGTCCTGCGACTGGCAGTCCTGCTCACTCACTTCCAGAATCTGTCCTGCCTACACGTCCCAGACCACTGTCTCACAGAACCCTTTCCATCCAGAGGTCCTGCAGGACCTCCCACCCCCATACCATGCCTCAAAGCCCACTGCTAACTCAATTTATGCCCTTGTCCCGTGGCACAGCTTGGAGGATCTACCCACCACAGACAGGATGACAGCCAGTATCTGCACAAGACAGTGGTTCCTAGGAAAATCTGTAATTAAATTACTGATCGGAGATTCAAATTAAATTATCATTACAATTGGAGCCAGGTTTAGGGTGTAGGATATACTGTCAGAGGGCTTGGACTATAAGGGTGGGCTGTAGGATCCTGTTTTAAATGAAGCTTGTATATCTCTGCTGTCTGCAACACTAGTGCTGCCTAACCAAAATTGGTGCTACAGGCACAATGCCAAGGCACTAACAAAATCAGTGTAATCCATCACCAGCCATCATCATAACCAAGAAGCTTTCTACAGTTTTCACTTCTGCTCCTAGACAACTGCAAGTCTATTCTACTTAAGGCATCTTTACTATTAGAGCTACTAAGTACCAGCAGACCTTTCTACTTCTAGGTCTTGTCCTAGGCCTGCTAGCTTTACTGGATCTGGAAACCAACTGAAGTCTAAATCAACTGCTTTTTGAACTCCAATAGTCAACTCATTCCCTACCTCTTATCTTTCCCCTTGATCATCTACCCTCTACAACCCTTAGAGCTCTTAGAAAATCAGCCCTCAAAACCAGGCCAGCACATTTGATAGGATGCAGCAATCATCCATGCTTCTAAGCTCCTCCGGCTTCTTAACTAGCCCTCTCTGGCGATACCACAGGCCAAGGACTCCAGTCCATTTAAGAACATGGTGTTAGCATGATACCAACCGATGATAAGCACACGGTGTCTGTAACCTGCCAATAAACCAAGCCCACGTGCTTCTGCTTTCCTGTGCCCCACTCCTAACTACACTTATTATGTTTTTATAGCTATCCTGACCGGAAAATAAATTAAGAGAGCATCTGCCCTGAACACAAGTTTTTACCTGCTTCCCCTTGGTTTTAGGATCTGGGGGGCACTTACCTTGTATGGCCAGTTAATTTGCCAATGCTACCTCTCTAATCTTGATCCCTAACACCAACAGGTGTTCAGGCAACTTTCAGGTACTGGAAGAGTAGAGGAAACTGTTACATTTGCTTTTTTCCCCTCCATAACTACTTTTAAAATCCAATCTCTTATGTTGCTATCAAATCAGTCACTGCTGTGTTATCTGATCCATACTTCTTGTACTCTCTAGTATTGGCAGAAAGGATTTACTCTGTCAGTATAATCTGTTTAAGTTTTTTAAAGATACTTATCTCTTATCTGTAAGAGTGTAATTCATCTGCCCTGTTTCAGCATTTGACATTAACCGCCAGTCACCTTCAGCTTCCTTTCTAGTCAATAAAAATAGGCATGTTGGAAGGCTGATACAACTAATTCTAAGATACTTATCTAACACAAGGCACGTGAATGGTCCTCTGGGGCTGTGCTTTTCTTTCCACTGGATAGAAAGGGATCCAAAGAGAAAAACTTATATTTAAATGTTTAACTGTAGATTTTAAATTAAGCAAAATTAATCCATGTAACCTACTGTTGAGACTTCCTCTTCAACAATGTTGCAATACTTTAGCATTTTAACATATGATTCATATGGAAGGCTAACACATGAAAGCTACTGCAGCCACCGCCACTAGTGATGAAAGAACAATAAAAATAAATACCTGATGGCAAAGTGGGAGTGTGCTTCAGAGATATCCTATGTTTGCTAACAAAGGCTTTCTCCACTGGGCCCCTCTCATTTGGATACTCCTGAGAAGTTTAAAAGCACTGAGCACTGCCTTTTATCAAACATTTTTCCTGGGATGTCTTTTTTCTTTTTTTTTTTACACTATAAAAAATGGTCAATGGTAGCCTTTATTCTTGTTATAACCAAAAGAATAAACAGGCATCACTAAGTAGCAGAGAAGTCACTATTTTATTCAAACAGATCAAAAAAATCCCATACATGCAAAACATGGCATGCTGTACAAAAAACAATGTTGAAATCATCAAGTTTCTAACTTCTTCCCAGTTTGAGAATAACAGTGTCACAAGAACTTACCTGCTCTACAAAACAATACTGTCCTCACAACACCTAGAATTCATAACCTAATCTAATCAGAAGGAAAACACATTTAGTACAGGGGATGGAAACAACCACCCCTCGCACCCAGCACAGCCACTCTCCCCAACAGTGTAGATGCACACCCCTCCATTAGTTTGGCCCAGCAGTACTGAAGTCAATAGGAATTTTGTGAATCATTTCAGTGGAAACAGATTCTATGATAACACGGACCTCTGAAAGGAAGGAGGCAGTCCTTCCTGTATGAGTAAATACGTAATGCTGACGCAAGTCTAAAGCGCAAAGAAAGAAAAGATGAGTTGGATTATAGCCGAGCTCCTGCAAAATGAAAACACACCTTACAGCTTCTTGCACATTTCCTTTACTAGCCAAAGTCTCTTCTTCAAAGGAATCTGTCCAAATCCTTCTCATACTAACTCTTTCTGTGGCTGAAGAGACTGTGCTATTTAAGTTTTCAGGAAAAATAAGATTAAGAAATTCTTCAACTGGGACAATTTAAACCGTCTATCGAACCATATCTTAATCAAATGCTTATTCAGTCAGCATTTAAGACCTTTTCTGATCTGAATGAACGAGTAAAAATGTAGCACGGTGATGTTTTACATTTCTTAATATATTTTAGTCGCTATAATTATTTTGAATACTTAGGAGATGTTAAAAAGCATAAATTTGTGTGTGTGTGCCTGTGCAAGCACAGATCTAAAAATCAACATATATACAAAAATATATTCAGGAAGAATCTTGCAAAAATTAATGAAAACTTAGTAAGTAAAACACGGCAATTAAGTATTTGAAAGGGCTAATTAATTCCTGCGAAGACTGCAAGTGTTCTCTTGAAGAGATTCAACTGAAAGTATGATCTGAGATAAATATTTCTGTAAGACATTTCTATTGCAAAACCACTATGCTTCTTGAGCAACATCATTTCCTTTTAAAATGTGTTATTTTGAAAATAGAAATCAGATATGAAAAATGCAAAGATAACTGATTTTAAAAAGTTTCACTTGTCTACAGAACTATTATTCACATGTTTTTATCATGCAAAATGTTATCAAAATCAAGTATAAATTATGTGTTCCCAATCCTGAATTCTCTGGGGATTACTCAGTTGACCATTTTTTCCAGTCCAGTTAGGAGGTGATCATCTCTAAGGTAATGAAAAGATAGCAGTCTCGGCAGAGAGCACATCAAAGACACAGCCTCACTCCATTCCTCTGAACTGACCATGTAAGAACCAACAGCCACCTTCCCCTAAAGAAAGATTAACATTAAACAAGTCTCCTACATTATGCCTCTAAGTTAACAAAATGTGAATACCCACCACAGCATCCAAAATCCAAAAAGAATAAAAAGGGAGACTCAAGCTACCCTGAAAATTAGGTTCACTAAAACTTACTTTAAATGGCTGGTCACAAGGATTAGGAAAACCAAATTTACTCCCTTTATCATATTAGCCTCAGTAGAAAAGAAAAGGCTAAATGTAATACACTTTCAGACATACCTACTTCCAGCTCCCACCATTTTTCTTTTGGTGATGCCTGTAGCACAACACTCCAGATAAGGAAAGGCCAGTTTCAGCCTCGGTTTCTTTCGGTGAAACATTTAGCAAGCACTCAAGGGCTTGTTTCATATAGCATTACCTTTCATCTCATCAGAATGATGATCCATCAACCTATGAAAGCAACATAAAGATTTCTACTGATTTCATTTGACTACAAATCAGATGTCAGATTTATCACACACACACTAGCAAAATAATAATCCACCTTTGCTTCACAGGAAATTTCCTTACAGAAAAAGTAATTGTAATGAAAATAGGCTTCTGATAACAGAGAACAGTTCTCATTTTAACTGGAAGAAAAATGTTAATGAATAAGGATAGAAATAGATTTTTTCAAAAATCCCCTTCTCTTTTACAGTTTAAATAAAAGCCTTCTAATTACTGGGAACATTTAGACATTAACTTGTAAAATTATGAAATACATAAAGATGAAAGCAGTTGTTAGAATGTAGTTAAGCATATTAACATTACATCTGTTCATTAAGATTTTTAGAATCAACTCTTGGCTTTCTTCTCCAAAAATATGGATGGAATAACAATTCAGGTCATTTCTTTTTCAATTTACAGAAGAAAAAACTTAAATTCTTTAACTTTTTTAGGCTCTCCCACTGCTCAAAAAACAAAACCAAAGCAAGCCCGATACCATAAATAACACTAGTTCTTAAAACAGTATGGCAACCCACAAGGCTGCCCTATCGGGCTTTGATGAAAAGGGTTTCATCAGGAGTTGTAGGACAATTCTCCTTCTCAGTAACAGTCTCTACTGTGCCTGAAGCAGATACAATCACTACTGTTTTAGCTGCTGAAAGAGCTTTCTCCTTCTCTGCGATGGCAGCACAGACTGCCACAATTTCATCACTTTCAAAGTCATAGTCTGGAATTGATTCTTGTGCAACATCTTTCTCTTTTGCCAGTGTTTGCACTGCCTCGCTCTTTGTTGCCTTCTGCTGTTCAAGTAGTTTTCTTGCCCAGGAAAGGTCCTCTTTCCATACTTCAGGGTTCATTGGAAAGATGTGTAAGGACACTTGGAAACTTCGGATTGCCTATAAACAGAACAGGGGAAAAGAAAAAGGATTTGAGATTTTAAAGCCTACATATTTCATCATAGTAATTAACAAAAAGAAAAAAATTATGTACATCATTCAAGCAAAGACAAAAGTGATTGTAGTCCAGCCTGTCTTTAGTGGAACAATCTTTCTTCAGCTGTAAGTTCAAGAGCAGAGCTACCCCCAAACAACTGTGCATACAAGTGTCTGAAAATACCAAGAATGCACAAACAAATCAAGTACTTGGCAACAAGGACACAAATAAGAGTTCACATGTCAAAAATAATATTGTGATTAGAAATATAAAAGCAAAAATAATTTTTGTTTTGATTATTTTCTATTCCACTTTTCTCCTATCATCAGATATGTGGGAAGGCAAAAGCAGACAGATATGGTTTAAAGAAATACAGAAAAGGGATGACTGGGATTTGAAGCATCACTAATACTGCTAGTTGTAAATTAGTCTTTTCACATACAGACCTAATACTACAGCAATCCTAGTCCTATGATAAGCATTTTCTGTAAGATGCTCGTGCTTGCAAACTCAGTTACCCTAAACAGGCAAAAGTAGACAAATAAACTCGCAACTTGGAAAGTTGATCTAAGAAAGAACTCCTATAATCTTACAAACCTTGTAATATTAAAACAAGTAAGTATAGTTGATGCTGTTTCTCCTGGCTTTCAGTTCAATTGGGAAAAGTCTCAGAAATACAAATACTCAACACAGAAGTTATTAAATACAAAAAAACTGTGAGCATCTAATTCAGTAGATGTGATATTTGGCAAAAAGAAGAGACTGTTACAACACTGGAAAAATGCTAGGCAAAGAATTACAACTGTATTATATTTATAGTTATATTAACAGTTAAAAGGTCAAGACTAACCTTACCTACTCAGACTTATGTGTATATACAAACAGGCATGTGTGTATTTCACATTTATGACTGTATGGTCAGTCATGGAAATGGCCACCTGAATGACCAAACTCTTGTGTGATGATGTATAGAAGTCTTCCTGTAAGGTGGGAAACAGTGATGGTATGGATTTGGATTATATTTGGGAATAGTTCTGGAAACTTGCATCTAAAGACTACAAAGACACATGAACAATCATTGAACTCCACATTCTGTTGTAATTTATAAATACCTAAAGCACGTAAATTAACCTGAAAAATCACTTTTCATCTTTACTGACAGAAACTGACAATTCATCCTTCTCCTGGCATAGATTAATACACAAACTCCGTATGACGTGAACTCAGATGACAAGAGAAACAAATCAGATTTCAGAAATTATGATTATGCTATCAATATTACTGCTGTTGTAATAGGCAGCCTTTCAGTTCCAGGAAAAAAAAAAACAACAAATACTTTATTGTTGGTCCACAGCCAATTCTGAAGTGTAGGAGCATGCTGAACTTTAAATAGAAGGAAGAGTGCAATTTAATTCTTGCAAAACAGTGTCATTTTATTCAACCTTGATAGCTTTTCATTTCCAGGGCTAGATGAGCTACAAGTAAACATTAAATGTTATTTTTTTGTATTTCTGTTGAAAACAAAATATAAATAAACACCATCTGCTTTTAAGCTTTCCATGAAAGAGGCCCTCTAATTAAAGCCTGTCTATATAGTTATGTTCATGCACAATAAACAACATTAAACACAGTAATCAAATATAAGGTAACATTTGATAAGCTTAGAAGCTGCCTCAATGGTTCATACAATACAGGATAAAATTATCATCTATGTAAATCTATTCGAAAAAAGATTTTGTGTGACATTTTTATAAATAAATCACAAAATATTATTAATAATAACAACCATAATGTGAATTTTAAGTGCTGCAAAAGATCAAAGGGATTAATTTTAAAGCAGCAATGTAATACTGAAAAACACAGAATTGTCATCCACATAAAATTTTATGTACTACTGTAACTGTACAGCTGTACTGTAACTGTACTGTACTGTACAGCTATTAATTTCTGTTAAGGCAGAAGAAAATAACAGTGTTACTTTTGATTCTCACCTGATGGAATTGTAAATCTCCTCCAACTGTCTGTCTGGCATTACAGGAAAATGTGGTGGCACTAGGTAAGCTTAGTACTTCTAGCCTCATTTTAAAGAGCAACTGTGATATTATAGACCCTGCTTGTAAGGACTGTGGGATTTTAAATCAGTATGCAGTGACATACATGCTTTTGCTTCTGTAGGGAAGAGTACTATAAAATCTACTGCAAGACGTTCCCGTTTGCTGAATTACAATACTTGAAGAATTTATACTTTTAAAATATTTTACATTTCATCTTACTATAGGGTATTCTGTAGCAAACAATCTTTCATTTGTCCCATAAGCAGAATCTTTTCTGTTGGTTTGCAGTCTTTAAACATGATGGGCAGTTTTGATGAGTCTAATTTTTATAACGCATTTTTGTAACACATGGACCTAGTAATTGTCACTATACAGTGACCCCCCCAAAAAGGTAAGGAAGCATTTTAAGAGGTTATGCAGTTCACATTTGTCCCCAAGGTTTGTATTAGGCCTTTATGCTACATCTAACAGACACTATCTGACCTATTTCAAAGGATGTCCATCAGTGAAGATATGTATACATCTATAAGTAATACTTTTCTGTGTTTAATGATCATTAAATACGAATTATTTTTTACAGCGTCCAACATAATACTTGGGGATACTGATGGATGGGAAACTGACCATGAGCCAGCAAGGTGTGCTTGTCGCCCAGAAATCCAACCGTGTCCTGGGCTGCATCAAGAGCAGTGTGGGCAGCAGGTCCAGGGAGGGGATTCTGCCCCTCTACTCCACTCTGGTGAGACCCCCCTGCAGTGCTGTGTCCAGCTCTGGGGGCCCCAACACAAGAAGCACATGGACCTCCTCAGGGGGGTCCAGAGGAGGCCACAAAGATGGTCAGGGGCTGGAGCAGCTCCCCTGTGAGGACAGGCTGAGAGAGCTGGGGTTGTTCAGCCTGGAGAAGAGAAGGCTTCCGGGAGATCTTAGAGCGGCCTTCCAGTGCTTAAAGGGGGCTACAGGAAAGGTGGGGAGGGACTCTTTATCAGGGAGTGCAGGGATAGAACAAGGGGTAACGGTTTTAAACTGAAAGAGAACAGATTCAGATTAGAGATAAGGAAGAAATTCTTTCCTGTGAGGGTGGTGAGGCCCTGGCCCAGGGTGCCCAGAGCAGCTGTGGCTGCCCCCTCCCTGGAAGGGTTCCAGGCCAGGCTGGACGGGGCTGTGAGTGACCTGGTCTGGTGGAAGGTGTCCCTGCCCGTGGCAGAGGGGTTGGAACTGGATGATCTCTAAGGTCCCTTCCAAATCAAACCATTTTACGAGTCTATGATAATATTTTATTGGAATTTAAGTCTTATTTCTTGTACTACTCACCGTGTACATAAATAACTGATTTTTACAGAAACCTTTAGCACAGAGACACTTATTTTAGTGTATTCGAAGACTTCTTATTACATTTCTCTTCTTTAAACAAAAAACAAACAAAGAAACCAATGTGTTTAAATATTTTCTTTATATGATATACTCTGAATGGTAAATGTCTTACCTATCTTAACTTTAACCTGTCAAGCTGAACTTTTCTGTGCAACTTTTCTGTTCAATTTTTTTCTTTTTAATAAAAATTTTCTCTCTGGAAATTTTTTTTCAGCAAAAATAATTCTTCTGTCTTCAAAAATTAGGTGAACACTTAGTATTTTGCAGTTCTTATGTTTACTAAAGCATTTTATTCACAGGTTCTGGTGATTTAATATTTTGGAGAAAATACTTGAAATGTAGTTGACAGTCTTCCAGATGTGAAGGGCTATTGAAATCTTTCAGATGTGAAAGGCTATTTTTGTCTTATACCTATTAGAATCTGGCCAAGTTATAAACCCGGAGAAGTCTTTGTTCCCATTTGGTAGACATCTGTGAGACAGTGCTAGCTTAACTATCCTTTGCTGGAGGTTCTCCGCTGCAGAGGATTTATGCAGTGCAAATGAAGATGCATCAGCATCAACTCAGCAGTCCTCCCTGGGGCCCAGTGCCGGGTGGCTGGCAAAACAGGCCAAGGCTGAGGATGTGTGCCTGAGCCTGGGGGTGTAAGACAACAGGAATGTAATGTCCTGTGGCAACTGATAGAAAAAGATCTCCTCAGTTTCTTTAGCACCAGGCACACATCTCTGGACAGACTAGTTTCAGAAAATTTCTCCTCAGCCACTGTGCCCACTTCCAGTTTCTCTTCAGAGTGCCTCTTCCACAGCTTCCCTCTTCCCCCTCTTTTGATGAAGCTTCTATCCTCCTCTTGTATTTTCTTTTGCAGGAGGTGGCCAGCTAAGTCAGTGGGGAACACTCACAAGAATTGAGTACCCTTGCCAGAAATGGCATTTAAACGTCTGGAGACTTCTGCTTTCTTGATTGAAAATAAAAATCACCTCTGAGTAGAAAACATTTTCATGCATTAAAAAAAAAAAAATCATTAGATGGGTTATTTATGACTTCCAACAGTGGTTTTAAGAAAAAAAAAAAAAAAAAAAAAGTGATGACACAACAATAGCTGGAGACTGCAGGACTAAGATAGGACATCTGGGGATGCTAGTATTACTGGGTATTACCTGGTATTACCTATAACAGGGTAGGACTGTTTAAAGCTGTTGAAAATAATTTAACAGAGCCTCACTTTAATTGACAAAGCATTTTATTTTCCTCTCAAACTTAATAATTCCCAAATACTATGCACTAGAATGTGTTATGTGGCTGGAGTATAGTTCAAGATGGAGTCAGCAGGACACAAATATGCCCTGTCACATATTTTGTTTTTCAAAGAAATATCTTTTATCAAGTCCTGATAAGGAAAGCAATACCATTTAGAGTGTGACACAAAACCAAGAAATTCTAGGCCAAACTTATAAAACAAATAGCAATTTTAAAAATTGCATTGTCTCTTTCTCATTTATGCACATAAAAAGAGTAAGTATCAACAATATTAACATAAAGTTAAATATTTCATCACTATAAATTAATCCACACATTTTGTTGTGCTTAGAAGATTACCACAGCAGCAGTGTAATTAAATATTTTAATCTTTTATAAACCTACAAAAATAAAGTCTGAGTTATTTATCCCCTCAAGTTGATATGAACACAATTTGAAGCACAGACTTGATTGCTTTTCAATGTAAAGCCAACCATCATTTTCCTTTTGATTACCAAAATCTTTGTTTCTACGTGCTTACATTAGTAACATTTTGAAAAATTCTCTCAAATTCATGATTAGTTATGTTAATTAGCTGGATTCCATGAAAATGCAGTAATTCCTCTCTTTGCTAGTATATCACTCCCATCATTACATAAAAGACCTAAAACTATTTCTTTCAAAAGAAATAAAAGGACTAATGTGAGCATTCATGTTGTCAAGGCTTGATTGCTTTTACAAAACAGTATCACAATTAAAGACTGCTAAACCACTTAGTAACAATACTGCAAACCACATCCTTCAAAATATACAACAAAAAGCACGCACAACTGGTACATATTTACACATCTGACCAGTTAACTCTGTAATCCTCAGAACTCCAGACCTGACACAGAGGCCCCAACCTAAAACAGGGTAACTCTGAGTCACAGAATCACAGAATGGTTGAGGTTGGCCAGGACCTTACAAGGTCCTCTGGGCCAATCCCCTGCTCAAGCAGGATCACCTGGAGCTGGTTACCCATGACCATGTCCAGATGGCTTATGAATTTCTCCAAGGTGGGAGACTCAGTCACTTTCAGTTAAGACGTTGGTTTGTTTCAATGCTGCTTTTGGTTATTTGTTTGATTGTTTAATCAATGTGTGGGGCTCACTTTGCCTCATGGGAAGAACTGTTCTAATGAAGATTATCAGTGTGAAACTGTTACTGCTTAAATTATCATCACCAATACAGTAATTATCATTTGTAAAAACAAACATTTACAATTAAATGAGAGAAATATTGCAAGCCCAACTACATTTCTACAGTTTCTACATTCACATTGCAAAGTTTACTTGGGTGTGCTCTTGCAAGCTGATTTGTAGTATTTAAAAAATTTCTGTCTTTACAGAAATAATGTTCTGCATGCTCACTTTTAAGTATTACTGTTGAACTACCCCATTTAGTAAATTCACAAAAAAGATCAAACAGCTTTTGTAAAAGCTAAATAGAAAGGGGCTAATTTATCTCACTCTTTCTGTCACAAGTTTGACAAAACCAAACCAAAACAAATCTTCCTTTGTTTGCAAGAAATGAATATGTTATACAGCTCATAATATAAATTAGATTTGTTTGGAAGCTGTATTTTAGACCTAGGAAACTTGAAATTAAAATACCTTACATTTTTTCCCAAGAAAAAGTACATCATTCATTGTGAAGAAATAAAAATATTTACAACAGACCATTTGGCAGGATGTGGGTAGTGAAGACAGACACCGAGGGGGGAGAAAACAAACAAAGAAACAGCAGAAGCTGCTCTTGAGAAGGGTGGTAATTCCCAAATCTCAAACATTACTAAAAAGCCCTGACATTTATGCTTTATTAAATGTTCTTTGTAAAAACTACAATGCAGTGAAAAATTAGAAATCATGGTAATGAAAAGCTAATGGGAAAAGAATAATTATGACTTAGATCACCTGGTCAAGAAGCCTCCACAGGTTCGATAATTATGAAATTATTTAACCTCCTAAGATTCCTCCAGTCTTAGCCTTTTAAGATTCTTTAAAAATTCAAAGATTCCTTAAAAAAACACTGGTTCAAAAAACAAATAGCGAACATTATCTGCATTTTAGAATAACTGCATATGTTCTGCTCTGTGTGTGAGAGCATATTCATCAGAATTCAATATGCCTTAAAGACAGAAAGGCAAAAAAGTAGAAACACCCAGTATTAAAGCACTGATAACAACAACAGGAGCTTACCCACCTCTGGGCTGCCTACAGTATGGTCAATATAACAATTACATGAGCACCTATATTAGTGTTTTGTTTCAGATGAATAATGTGCTTTGATGCAAATCTCTGATTGTTCACACATAAAATGATTTGATTTGCACCATGGAATAGTCTCAGACTACATAAACTGATTAAACTCAACAATGCACTCCAGGAGAGCAGATGAAGTAAAACAAAATTAATGTAACATGAACACTGGGTCTACAGCACTAACTCAAGATATCCACTCCTGTTGGTGTGGTGTGACTTGCCAACGTAGAGAAAGCTTATAGGATTTGGTGACCAGACCTGGTGGTATAACCAGTATGGGTTTTTATATTATATCAATATGTGTAATTCACATTACAGTAACTGCAGGACTTTTAACAAAATAAGGACCAACAGATACATAGGCTCCTTGCAGGAAATAAACCTTTGAATTTCCTGAGGCTAATGCATTTAAAAATCTCAGACATAATATACAGCAACAATTTCAGACACTTAAAAGGAAAAAAAAAAAATATAGATTGTAGATCCAGACAGGACAGACCACCTACTCTTACCTTCTACACCACAAAAGCCATGGAATGTGACTAGATATGTGATGCAGATATACATGTACTTACATTAAATATTTCACATTATGTTACTGCAACGTAAGATAGCACACCACACATCTGCAACACACAGCTTTGTCTTACATTATTCTCATAGTTTGTTTGTTTGTTTGGGGTTTTTTGTTTTTTTGTTTTTTTTTTTTTTTTAAACACTGCTCCCTGCTACATTAAAAAAAAAAAAAAAGGGTTTCCATGATCTGTTTAGCCTCTCTCTAAAAAATAGGGGTTTTTTTTATTCTTGAGAATTTTCCATCCAAACACTGTAACTTTGCAAAACCTCCTAAATTAATGACAAATTTATTTGTATCAAAACCAGCACACAGATACTTCTTTTTTTACCAGAAATAAAACTATTATTTTTTTTTATCTGAGAGCTCACGATGATTTATTTTTCTAAAGGACTTCTGAATTAAAGACACATTCATAAAACATTCACTCACTATATTTCCGCACTCACTAGCAGAAAACTATTAACACCAAATGTTATTTACAGGTGTATAGTCTATAGTCAGAGGGTGATCTGACATGGGGTAAGTCTCTATCTGCATCTTATTATGTATCCAACACAGCACCATGGCATACAGCTGCAGCTAGAGTAAAGATGCACTTCAACTACTGCAGAGCATCCCAGCCTTTTTGCTGTCTTATTAAGAAAAGAAGCAAATTCAGCCACCATTTGGGGTCAAGGAGCTACAAGAAAGCATAAGCACACATGATTTGCTACACCTGAAGCAGGGGAGTACAAACCAGAGAAAACAAGACCCTAGATTTTTATTAGCAGGCACATATATAACTGAGCCTGAATACCAACTGGGACTTCACAATACTTTCATCTTTATGGTGAGCTGTGCTGTAGCAGTACAGTACCCAGAATGTAGTATGTGTAGTTATGTGAACATAATTATTCTATTGCATAAAGCCACTATGTAAATATAGTATACAACACAAAAGCCTTTGAGCTAGGCAGGTCTTCCACAAGCCCAGCAACAAAACCACACAGGAAGTATCTGTGAAAAAAACCAAAGTAGAGTGAATACCGGAGATAAATAACAACCTTTTGCCTTGCCTGCTTTCAGGTTACATAAGGATATTCAGCTACCTTGATATTTTTCTACTTTCATTCTCTCACACAACTCTGATGATGTGGTTTACAAAGTTAGCATATTAATGTTGTTTGTTTTCCTACCAGTGCTATCTCTCCTAATCCAAGCTGGGCACGTCCCAAAGTCTGCCAGGCATCCCAGGAACGTGGGTTTCTCTGGACAGCCATTTCTGCTGCATGCACTGCTGGGAACATTTCATGTAAAGACATCAGGACCTATGACAGAAAAAGAAAAGTAAGAGGAAAAAGAATAAACAAAATTGAAAACATAATTATAAATTTTCTGGGATTACCAAGGCAGCCATCATTGTTTCAATAACTAAGGACAGGTTCATTTTACCTAGCTTTTTCTTGTTTAAATGTTAGTTGTCTAATCTCAGATGGTCACCTAGACACATTTCATAGCCCACAGAGAGAAACAGGCATGCTAGAGGATGATTCATCTGAATTATTTAAGCAACTCTCTTAGAAGTAGATTAATTGCTTCGGAAGGTGTGCCTCCCTCTCCCTTCCTCCCTACGAACCCCACACTGTGTAAAAGCATAACAGAATACACTGAAGGTCAAACACATTCAGAGTTAAACACAAGAAATAATCAAGTATTGTTGAAAATTTTCTAGGTTGTATTTTTATTTTTTAATAGAAGACTGAAATCTACCAAATACAGTTGCAGTGCACATGATATAATTATAGAAAAAATCCCTGTAATTCAGCATGGAAACAGACCTTAACAGTGACTCTTGTATTTGGAGACTAAGCATTCTGCAACAGCAAAGCCTAACTTAGACATGAAGTCACCTACACTAAAAAAAAAAAAAAAAAAAAAAGAGTAGTTTCTGAATGTGGCAATCTCTTTTACTCAGCAGTACAGGTTAGTGTCATCCTGTTACCATAGTATTCTACTCCTTGCATTGAATCTCCATAACTAGGCCTATAAACCAGTTAACAATACATAACATGGCTCAAAGCTTGCCTTATTTTTCCAAGACCACCATGAGATTGGCACATTACCTGAAAACCTGCATCATTCTGAGATCATGATTTCAGACACCCACATGCTATGGTAATAGATACCAATATAAGAAACAAATGACAACTGCATTCCTCCAGTATGATGAGAATGTCAACCACAAGAGTAAGACTCATGTCTGGGCAACCACTTTCATCCCAACTGACCCACAAGTATGATGAATAATACTAGAACATATTAGGACTATTGCTGAAGTGTAAAAAGCATTTATTTAACCTTACTGTTCTATGATATATTAAATAGATAAATATATAAGTGTGGAATAGAGGAGAATTCAAATGAAATAATCTTGAATATGTACTTTAATCAACATACAGTATTTGCACCACACTAGGGTGAGTACAGTAAAAAAAAAAAATAGCTTTACTACAGAAGGTAATCCTGTACACAAGAAACACAGCAAGTATAGCTTCCAATAAAACCTTCGGATCCATACTTATGCTGTTTTAGTAAGCCTAAATTTTTCTGAAGACTAGTCCTATGGGTTCTCTTTAATTCCATTTAAAAGGCTGTACACTGTAATTTAGAAGTACCTAAAAATCTTTTTTTTAAAAAAAAAAAGTTGTATGTCATGTCATTTTCCCTTTTTTCCTTATCAGTTCTCAATGACTGTGCTTTGTAAATAAAGTTTGTAATTAATACTATTTTTCCAAAACTTTCAGTTCAACTGCATTTTTGTGTGCAGTTTCTCTTATCTGCAGCATACCTATGAACTGAATCAAACTGTTACTACTGGATAGGTGTATATCCTACCAAGATTAAGTGATTCTGCATCTATCAGCTAGCTTTTACATTAAACACTTAACATATTTATTCTCATAAGAGAATACAAATCCAAGTATACACTGACCTGAACATTTTTATGCATCAGTACTTCCTACCAGTACTTTCTACTGCAACACAATTCCAAAACATCTATGTAAGTATTTAGGAAATCTTCTGTAGTTTTTAATGACTTTCTTCTGCTTTGTTTACTGAATTGTGACCTCACTAATAAAAGACATACTTCCACTTTCATCTATATATGACTGTTGTGTGTACTAATTTAGACAGTTGCTTTAAAAATGCTCTTCCAGATCATGTTGGTAATTACTGTGCTTCTAGTAATTGGCATCAGTTTCTCAAGGTACATTCATAGAAATACAAATTTCAATGTATATGCATTTTGTCCAGCACAGGTGTTTTTTCCAGTTATTAATAAAATGACTCAGCTAAACTTGTCAGTCATCATAAAATAATAAATTCATTAATGCATACCATTTTCCTGCACTTTTGTTTTCAAGTGAAGAATTCATCAAAATGAACATATGATGGCAGACTTGATTGTGTGCAGCCTTGTCTTGTGTTAATCTACTTGTGATATTATTATCACTTTAATGAAAAACCTCTGTATGCCAGATACCACTGCTACTTGAAAACTTAACCAGCAAACACTCACGTTATTCCATGCCTGGAAAGTCATGCTGAAAAAAGAATGAAAAACCACTGCTAGCATAAAGTTTTCTTCTGCACAGATTTGACAAGAGTTCTTCAGTCCTTTCACTGGGGCAGGCGACATGGCCAAGACAAAGCCTGACAGGAACCACGTGTGCTGTAGCTCCTTTGTCATACACCATGCCTGTCACAGTTCAACATGCAGTCACATCAAGCACCAAATCTATGTGTATATACATCATCCCCCAATAAGAGACCAGTGTGGTCTCCATTTCACTAATATGGTAAGTACCTAAAAGGTTATTGTCACCCCTTACACATCGGCCCCTTAGACAGTGTGTGTCCAAAAACGGGGAAACCAGGTGGTAGATCATAAGAATTATCAGGCTACCAAAAACCCACAATCATACTTCTAATTCCTTAGATAGCATTTCATGCACAACATATACTTCAGTATTCATACATACTTTAATAATGTAATGTAATGTAATTAATATAATATAATAATCTTGACTTCTGCATGACAATACAAGATGTGAGGCTTATCTTAAAGGATGCAGATACTCTGAAATACTGTTTTCATGGCATTTCAGATCTTGCCTCCTTCCCCAATCATCTTAGTTTCTTTTACCTGTAGTGCTGTCATTACCATGCCAGTGTAATTTTTCATTTTCCTTCACATAAACTCAGGCTACATTTATGCCTTGTATAAGAGCAAGGTTATTTTGCTATCTGCAAAACTCTCTTCTTTCTCTTGATTACATTCTCTTTACTGTTGGTTTCCTTGTTCCCTACATACCACACTATAATGGACCAAAGTCCAACTGACTTAATAAAAAACTAGACACTCAATGTCTTGTTCAAAGTCTTGCTCTCATTTTCTCCCTATAAACTTTACCTTATCCTCTCGAGAATCCATATTATGTGTTTCCTTTCATTTACCTCTTTTTGAGTAAGTTATTTTATTTGCTCCAACGTGGTATCATCAGCATAATGGTCTATTTTTATGCTTCTTACAAAGATGCCCCCAGGTCTTCTTTCATTTCAGCCCATATGCTTGAAATACTTGAGCAGATGAGAAAACTATTACCTTTTAATTCAGATGTGTGACTGAAACATGAATCTGGAACCCAGTAGCAGTCCCTATACCCAGTTTGAGCAGAACACTTGCTGCTACTCTTACCTGTGTTCAATTTTATCTCATAATCACAGTAACTTATTACCTGTGTAAGTTTGTTTACATTTAGACATTTAACTTCAGTAACTGTTTTAAAATAGTTATTCTGTAGAAAAAATAATAAATAGAACACGCACCCGGTGGCTCCCTCCAAATTAAGCATGTTCTTTGATTTGGTTGAATTCCTTTCAAGAATGAACTCGGAGTTCTATGCGGGGAATGTTTCTTGTTGGGAGCTCTACTGTACTTACAAACTCTTGACACCCTTTTAATCCTTTATGGACTACCTCAGTACAATTGATTCTAAACTGCTAGGCATCATCAGCATTAATCCAGACATGCATCCAATTATACAATTTCATCAGTAACTTTGTGCAATCTCTTTTGATTCAAGTTACATTTACACTGATTTCAATGTGGTTTTGGTGGGGCTTTTTGACAGCAGAGACCATTGTCACCCTTTGCTAGTTACTTCCTGCAAAACATTCAGATTACTAGTAAAAACAGGAACAAGCAAGCATTATTCTAAAAAGGTCACAAACATTGTAATAGAGTACTCAGACATAACATTTCTTTCTTAAACAGATGTTTACTTTTTAGAGAAACTAATTCAGTTGCATTCGGGTATTCTTCGATGATCAGACAAACAGCAACATGCTTTACAGAGGAAACAGGTATCACTGAAAACTCCATCTAAACCCTTCTTCCTCAATGTTTTAGCATCAACTTAAGAGTCTTTGGATGGCCATGCATTCAGAAAAAATGCATGAATATAACCTTGTCATTTGAGAACATGAAGATATTAAGCTTTTACTTACCAAAATTGTGACAGGGAAAACCTTCATAAAAGAGACAATCCTATCAGCAAAACAGGTTTTTCATCTATTTTGAAGAAAGCTATGACATAAAAGGGCTATTTTGCCAGAATCACCTAAGGTAAAGATGAGGATGTGTGTGTTTTTTTATGAACATTCATTTAAGAGCTGACACACTAAGATTCTATTCCTTTCCTGTTGCTCTCAAACTAATTTCTCAGATGAATTTTGTTTTGCAAACTTCATTAGCAGAATGGCACTCAGGTTTCACAGTTAAGTAATCTCATTGCGTATTTGATTTATTTTCCAATTATACTGACGACACTTCATTAGAAAACGTTCTTAAAGCTAATCAAACAATTAGAAAAAAATACTCTTACAAAGCAGAAAAAACATCTCAAGACTCTCACGCGCATACATATTAAAAAATGACTAGAGGGAAACGTCTTATAAAGATGTTCAGTAGGTGGAATTTCAGAATTTACTTTATTCCAACATAGACTTACCGTTATCACATGCACTAAAACAAAGAACACCCATGACACTACAATGACTTAGTTTAATAGATCTAGCTTAAAAAAAAAAAAAAATATGAGGCAGATTAGAAGAATTATAAGAACTCAGTGGCAAAATCCTAATTAAACATAGCAACTGGGAGACTGACCAAGTATTAAAAATCCAGTCAGTAGAATGACCAATCCTGTCCTACCCACAATATTTTGGCAGTGTTATGAATCTGAGTAAGTCCTGATTTTAGATG